TTCAAAGCTCCACTGGCTTCTTCATCAGGCAAGATGTTACAAACCAACAGGAGAAAAAAAATTGGAGATGTTAGTCAGATGCCTGCATTTTGATGTTTTTGTCCTTAGTTACGATGGTAAGTGGAAGGTATCTTTTGCAGGCTGGCCTCTTGTTATTGTTGTATGCCTTCAAGTCATTTCTGATTTATGGTGACCTCAAGGCGAACCTATCATGAGGTTTTCTTTGCAAGATTTATTCGGGGTGGGGGGATTGCCTTTCCTTTCTCTGAGGCTGAGAGTGTGTGATTTGCTCATGATCATGCAGTGGTTTTCCATGGCTGAGTGGGGATTTCAATCCTGGTCCCCCAGACACCTAGTCTGACATTCAAACCACTACACCATTGTGCTATTGCAGAGCCATGTGGTAATGGCTGCTCCCAAACTGGTATGTTTCTGTTTTCTTTAACTAACATGATTGTGTGGGAATGTCTGAAGACACTAAACAACAACAACAACAACAACAGCCCTTGAATCAGGCCAGGCCAAAGGGAACAAAGTTGACTGGAGACCTCCCTGCCAGTTTTGAGTTCCTTGTTCCTTGCTCATGCTGGCTGCCTCTTAAGCTCTAGTCCTATAAATATTCTCCTGGGAACCACAGCATTAACTAAAACCCACAAGTAAAGTAGTCACATGGATTGTATTTGTAACAGTCAGCATTTAGCGGTCATAAATGGGTTTTTGAAGAGAGTGGGATAGCCACCCCGAAAACCTTATCACACTGCAGTTGTGCAAAGGTTTAACATGTAGGGAAGGAAGTGAGCATAAATCCTCCCCTTTCCTCACTCCATTGCCTCTATGTATTGATCCTGCCATCCTTGGAACAGAGCCTACACACAGATTCCAGTTGTGTACATTTTTGCAGCGTTCCTGGATATGTCAAGTTGGTTCTGTGTGCAGTTGGGTGAAAAGGGCTGCAGCGTCAGAAAATTCTGGTATTTGCTGGCAAATCTCAAGGAAAAGCCAGTGCCCTTTATAAATGCCCATACTTCTCCATCGTTGTTGGCATCATCCCCATGAACAACCAGTAAAAGATAGCGGTTCAGAAAAGAGAATGCTGAGACCTGGGCATGTATCAATATGCCTCGAGAGTGTTCTGACATTTCCCAGTGGCTTTTCAGAGTTCTTGTAAGAATTGCTGGTAAGATAACATAACCTCACTTGATGTTTACTGTAACACATACATCTGCAGTGCTGGCCCAAAACATTGTGCTGCCTGAAGCAGAACAAAACTGCAATTTCCCCTCCTGCCACATTCCTTAGGGCCTTCAGCCAGTTTTGCAGCACTCTTTAGACAACAATTCCTGCCTTCTTCTCTATTCTTTCTTCCACCCACCTGGTGCTGCCCAAGACAGGTCCTTTTTAGCATGGTAGGTCCAATTCTCCATACCCATCTGCTTTAATATATGTGTGTGTGTGTGTGTGTGTGTGTGTGTGTGTGTGTGTGTGTGTGTAAAATACCTATACTAGTTGGAGAAGGAGGAGGAGGAGAAGATGGCTCAAATCAATCTGATAGTCCTACTTAGCAGAGATCCAGAGAATCAATGGGAACAACTTGTATTAATGGAAACTTGGTAAGCCAATACTTATGTAAGTTTCACTTGAATAATTGGACCTACTCTAACTGGGTTTAGCCC